ATTAAAAATTGTTTATTGTGACACTTAATTTGTTATTAGTTTGTTTTTGGCATCATTATAAACCTGAACTGGATTTTTTTATGAGTCACGGTGTATTAAACTTTTTAAAAATTCAGCTCGTGTTCAAATTATGCAAAAATTCTACGTCAAACTCAGAATTTAAGCGGTTCAAAGAAAATCCAATAAAATCACTTAATATCAGTACTTTTTTCAAAACGATTGAGATTGGGGCTACTTAAGCAATGAAGATGTGCTTATAAAATCCCAAAATATACAGATAATTATTTTGGACAAAGGTAAAACCCGTTTTTGGTTGTAAAGTTATTTTTATAAAAATTTCGACAAAGTTTTTATTGTATTTTGTATTAAAACATCCTTTTATGCAATAATTGACTCATTAAATAACTAAATGAAACCGGTAACCGGTAGGAGATTATTGGAAATTTAAAGATTAACATTACAAGTAATCAATTATAATAATGATAAATAAATTCACATATTCAAATTAATCAATAGACAGTAGAAAATTAATTGAAAAATGAACCACACGTTCATTAAAAATGCATATATTACTTTATATTGGAAATAACATTCTGTTTACTTTTATAGCCAAAGATTAAAAAAGATATAACTAAGTAAGAAAAAACATTTTTTTATTGTGATTTAAAATTAATGTAATGTGATATTTTTAACAATTTTTTTTAATTACTTATACATAATCATCTTTCAATACAGGAAAGGTACATATAATTAATTTATTAGAAAATTGATCGTCCAATGTATCTAAAAATGAAGGCTCAAAATGGTTCAAATTGCAATTATACAATTATCCATCTACACACTTGAAACAGCGGAACCGTTCCTGAAATGTTTCTTTACAGAACAGTTAAATACATGATGTTTCAAAGTATCAATGATACACAAACATCTGTACAGAAGCTAGTCTCTTTTAAATAGGAAAAGGTCGAGCTGTCAAATTAAATTGCTTCTAGTATCTCTACGGAACAAAATGGTAGATTTGGTAACAGGTCACTGCGGGCGTCGAAATTATGCTGGAAAACTAAATATTCCCTTCAATGATGGGTGTGCAAATTTTGAGGAAGATGAACAAACTGCTTCATCCGCTTTATCATCTTTGTCTCCTGATATCTCTACGAAACAAAATGATGGAATTGGTAACAGGTCACTGTGAGTATCGAAATTATGCTGGAAAACTAAATATTCCCTTCAATGATGGGTGTGCAAATTAGGAGGAAGATGAATTGAGAAGTAATTTAATTGAATATTTCACGAAATAGTTTTCATTTAATTTCCCTGCAACTTCTTGCAAATGCGGCATAAGATTCATAAAAATTTGACAAGTATTTAGAGAAAAAACTTGTAAAAATCTTTATTGATAAGCAAGAAGTTTAACAAATTTAATTTTTGTTTAATTATTGTAGGTGTTGTCAAACGACATTATTAACAAATTAAGCAGTAAAATTTTTTAACGACTTTAATTAGCGCTTTTATTTGTAAAAAATATAGCAAATACCTTCACAGCTAAACAGCAACAATGTTCGTGCTATTTATCCAAGTGTGAATTAATAAAAATTTATCTTATTAGCTTATAATAAATTCATATTCATAAATTAATAAAACAAATTAAAGAAAATATAATGATATTTGAAAGTTTACTCATTTTACACAAATATTCAAATAATTTTACGGCCTGAGTCATGTCCCGTCTTGGAATGGCTTTGAAATTTGTGTATAAACTTGGATTTTAGGTAGTAAAATGGCATTAGGTAGAGGCAATGACAGTAAACACAATGGCAATATAAGATTTACAAAAAATTTTCAAAGAATAACAAAGCTATATACTTTTAAATTACATTACATTTTTCATTGCTTCATACACCGTGAAGAATATTAACGAGCATGTACCTCATTTGATTTGAGGTGGCAGTTGCTAACTAAAAGATAATATATCACATCAAACATTTAACTTTATAATCTTCTTATTGTGTCTGCATAATAAAGTGTCACGTGTTAACAAAAATGATGACATTATAGAAATTTTAGAATGAGATGTTGCTAACATATTGAAAACCCCTCCTAATCTACTCTATATATTAACATAGTGCAAAAATTATTTATGATACACATATCCCACTTGTACATCATTGGGATGATCCAACTTGTAATATTTCATATACAATAAAAGCAACTTTTTACTTATAATGTAACGATACATTTTTCCTCTGATTTTATTTTGCTCATCAATATCAATACCGGGTACAGATACATTCCTTGTATACAGTTTAAACATCTTAAAACGTTACATACAATGTTTTTAATCAAATCCAACCTCCCCTACATATGATCGATTTAATAGCACTGACCTAGGTATATATGTATAATCAGTTATTATCTATCATGAACTAATAATTATCACATCTGGCCTTAAATTTTAAAATATACTTTGTCAAGGAAGAGTTTAAATTTAGTTCCGATTTCAGTAATGAAGTCTTTAAGCTTCTTGAAAAAAGTTTACAGTATCGCTTTGTGCAACATCCGGACAAAGCTTTTTCTTATGCAAGTATGTAGCTCGTTATATTCACTACCATACCCTTAACTAGGAAAATTGGTGATTTTGGTATTCCATAATGCAGTTCTAGAGTGGTAAAATTATAATCTTATGTGAACTTTGTTTCTGCTGCTTTGGGTTCGTAAGCTTATAAGTTTGTACTAACTCGGTTCCGCCGTTTTTTAGTAATTTAGCTACAAGGCATACTTGCGACTTCATTTCTGAAGAAGTAAGACTTAAAATTATTTTTCTTAACAAAGTATTAGAGTGCTTATAATAATAAAGAAATTTATTAAAGAAAAGGATAAGGGATAGAATAGTATATATACAGGGTTTTAGCTGCTAGCAAAAGACAGTGCTGTGACCACATTTGATCTTTTGTACGGCTAACTGACCGTAATTGAACGCGACACTTTGTTGTCGAATGAAAGCCAGAATGTTAGTTGTTGAGAAGCTCCTAATACCAGACTGGATTAGAAACTAGCAGCCAAGTGATATCTTTTTGGTGGAGATCAAATCCGAACAGTCACAAAATATATGACTGGAAGTCTTATCCACTTCCACGCCGAGTAAACATTCCATTTGCTATAATTTCTATACTTTCTATAAAGCATAGTAATTATTTAATTTGTACAAAACTTTGTTTATCATGTTCTGATTATTTAAATATAAATTCATTAGTTGTTGTGCTATTATTTCTATATCTAAATACTCTAATATGGTATTAAAAATTATTAGTCTTTTTGCTTGTCCCAGATCTACTTTGAAAACCGTGATATATGAGTTGGTGATTTGCATTAATTATTTTTTCGTGAAATTATAACGTTCAATGGATTTTCATTTGAAAATCTCTTAATTACTGCATTGATAAAATCGCAGTTCATTGTATCACAACGTCATCAATTTCTCAAATCCTCGTTTAATATTCAAAAACGTGATTGAAGTGAAGCCAAAAGTTTCCACTAACTGCTACGAAATAATTACAACAACAACCCACAGCTTATCGTATCGCATCGTGAACACTCGCACCCGTTACAGGCAGACGTGAAGAGATGACAAAAGCAAAACAAAATTACGCATACGTCACGTTAAACCTTATAAATCTCGTTACCTTAAAAGTTTAATGGAACGAATGCGCGGGCTGTGGTTGCGATTGCCAAATGAGCTGCAAACCAAAACAAAAGCAGTGGACAAAATAAAAAAGGAAACAAAATAAACAAAAAATATGAAACAAAAACAATGAAAAACAAATAAAAGACAAAACAAAACAAACGGCAACAGGTTAAAGCCACGGACAAGTTTGCTATTTAAAATTAAGAAGAATATTTTCGTTGTTAGTTGTTGTTGTTGTTGTCTTTTGCATAATTATTTTTGTTTAATGTAAAAATGAAAAAAAACATCGAAACAAGCTTGAAGTTACTACTTTTGTTACTTAATCTATGTGCTGAGTCAGCAAAGGTTGCTGAGCTGCCTATTTATCTTGCTAGAGTTTGTTGGAAAATAGTCACTTGGAGCTAAGGCGATTAATGCAGGAAACATAAAGTTAGACATAAATTATCTAGTACTTTCTGGTTATGTGACTGAATGTTCTGTTGTGGCATAACTCAAATATGTTTATAAAATCTGGTTGTTATTAAGATGTTGCTTACAGATACGGATTCTAATACTCAATAAAAATGGCAGTATAACAAATTAATTTTAAATGATATTAAGTAGACTGATTAATTAAACTAAATTATAAAATTAAATTAATTGAAATAAAATTCATAAATAGTTCTTAAAGTGTTTCATAAAAAATAATTTGCTTTTAATGTTTATAGATAATTTGAATGATATGACTTTTTGTATTTACATTACATTTACATATTCACATTTTTTCATACACTATTTTTATGGCTAATATTGTTAGATATTAGATTTTTAACTGTTCTAAATTTTCCATTGAAAATTCTTGTAAATAATTTAAACTAATTTAAGTTCACGTTATTGTGAAATAAATTCTTTTTCGTAAACAATACCATACTTGCTTTATATAGAACTCTTTGCACTAAGTTTAAAGCATGTGAGAATTATACGAAAATATAATATATTATATTAAAAATGACTATAAGATCATTAATGTGCAAAAATATTTTTTATTACTTTCATGCACACAATGAATTACAACATATAATTTTTTTCTTTTATTATTTTGGTAAAATATTTTTTTGAAACCAAAATAACCTTTGAAATTTAATTGCTTATATATTTTACTCTTTGCATTTATTTTACTTTTACGAATGCATAAATTTATTTGTTATTTGCAAATTTTGGTTTAAAGATGAATCTGGTTGGAACCACTTTTAGCCAAATTTATCCGTACGTTTTGTAAGAATGCTTTAAGGCAAATTAAAATAAAACAAAAATAAAAAATTCAAAAATTATGTTTTACCTTTTACAACTATTTGTTTTGTTTTGTTTTGTTCGATTTAATAAAATCTTATTTTCTTTAAATTAAGTTTAAAAAATATCACAGCACTAAAATATTTAATAGATTTATTTTAAAAAAACAATTTTTTATTAATATTTTCTATATATTCACATTCTTCAATGATCATTGTACAATAAAGTTATTTAAATGCAGCTAAGCTAATGCATAAAAAGTTGACACAGTCAACTGTCTTAAATATTAACTTTTGTTAATTATTACAATTGTTTAAAAGCACGATATAATCTGTTCCATTTATTTAAGTTTCCGTTTCATTATTGAATCACGTCCCACACGGTTGAAGCACAAAACTTAACTGAGCCAACTTTTTTGCGGTAACAGTTACAAAAGCTTCGAGCCAAAGATCAAGCAGTTACTGATCAGTTAATAATATGTAGAGTTGCCAGCTGGATAGCAATTTCAAAAGACTTCAAAATATTTATACAATATTTACTATTTCTCACACTTAAGTTTGATTGAAATTACGAATAATATATATAAGCTGTGGTCTCAACTACTTAATACGTAAAGCACATAGAACATACATATAATAATGATCAGTATTCAGCTGATATATAATATGAACATCTTATATCAATAGTAGCATTAAAATAGTAAACTATTGATACAATACTTATACTATACTATACTTATACTTATGCTATACTACTTGCTTTAAAATAATTTTAAATCCAATACTATAAACATTTAAAATTAACATGCTGAGATCTAATAAAATTACGAATATGAATATATTGACTGCTCAAGATCTAAACAATGAAAAGAAATATGCATCACATGTCAAATATATTCGTATAGATAAAAGTTTCTCCCAAATTCTTATAGTTTTACTATTTGTCATATAAAGCTTCTAATTACCTGTCAAGTAAAGTTTTCACATCAAAAAGCAAGATTAATAATTATAGTTCAGTACAATAGTGCTCATATCTTCAATATACGAGAGTATATACGACAAAATTCTATGAATTTCGAATGAGTGGTATAAATCTCGATTGGAAACCCAAATCTAACTAATCTGGAAAGGTCACCATGACTACCCATCCCTAAGCTTTAATGTATGCACGCGGTTGTCAGAGGTTATTTTAAGAAAAAGATGAAATTCCTATTAGTACAACAGTATTTTCAATAAAGTTTTTTTTATTATAAGAGAGTTGAGTTTCAATTGTATAGTGCACAAATGCCTTTTTTAATTATAATTTTTAAAAGATTTAATATTTCACATAACTAATAAAAATAATACACAAAACATTGTATCCCACTAAAGCTTTTCACTGTAAACTGAGACTGACAGTTTGAAAGATATTGTAACTACAAAATTTAAAAAATTTTATTAATTATTTTGCATAATTTTAAGAACACCTACAAATATTAATTAAATAAAAAAAAAAGTTTTATACGTTTATTTTATACTTACATTTAAATGTACTTTTTTCGGTTAAATATCCAATTGGTGTAAATTATTAGGCAGTCTAGTCTAAAACTTATGTGTATCTATTGCTTATTTATCTATGAGCCTTAAGCTTACTAATTGTTAAAATCAAAGTGCAAAAGGAAATATTGATTCTCTGAGAACTCTTAAAATGCTATCTTAATAGGTGTGGAAATATCGAGTTTTAATGTTGATTACTTGAGTAAAAGCCTATTTTATTTTATTAAGAAAGGTCACTGAACAACAACAAATTCTTTACTGGCAGAAAATCTGAAACCGGTTTTACAACATATTTTGTACTTCTTTACTGAAATGGAGGAAGTTTAGTCAGCTATAGGACCTTTCTTTAAAGAGTAGTTTTATTCTGGTTTAAGTCTATCAAGTATGGTACGGAAATGCAATGTGCCTATAAGTCTAGTTGAGTTCTTGAAATGGTCTTAACAACCTAATAAGCCAACCTAACATTATTCCCTATGAAAAATATACCATTTTATTTAATTCCGTTTTTCCTTTATTATTTTTATTAAAGTATTCTTAAGTATTCTTATTATATTTTGAAAATTTTAAATCAAGCATTTATAAATTTTCCAAAATGGATTATTAAAGTGAGCTAGTTGTTTTTGATTTATTCAGGTAAATCGCAAAGGTTTTATGTTAATTAGTATATTATATTTAACCAATACTTGTTTAAATATAGGACTGGTTTCATAAATCGTAGGTCAATAATATTTTTAGAAAAATACTTCTAAACTGACAGTAAAGATAATGGCTGAAACATATACTCAAATTACTTTTAAAACAGCAAAGACGTTTAGCAAACTTTAAAAATAAAATAAATAAAATATGCATGAGATTCAATAATGCTTCAGAAATCTTTAAAACTAGCTTCATGCACATAAATTTACTGGCACAAACTATTTAGAACAAATTACAATCAAAACATTAAATTAAATAAATTATTTAAATGCGAATATTAAGTTTATATGAACACAGTTAATTCCAAATAAATATTAAAGAAATATACAGAAATAATTTCAGAAGATTTATAACCCATAGTTCGGGTCACAGGCTGAATCAAAAACTATTCGATATTTTAACTGGCCAGCAATCTTAAAAATTTCTACAATTGGTTTTAAGTAAATGCATCTATGAACTCTTATTGGTTTTATATGGACACGAGCTTTATACGCAGATGATTATATGTATGTACAAGATATTTATATTCTAAAGAAAAACTTTAAAACATTCATTTGAGAAGTATAATATATTTCCATTATTAATATAATATATGATATATTTAAATATTTTTTATATGATCTATACAATTAAATAAAATAACATTATTTTAACAAAATAACTTAAACTAATATAATGTTTTGAGCATTTTCACTATAACTCAATATTAAACTATTTTAAATTCATATTAAGCTAATACAATATAAACTTAAATATATACGTATACAATATATATATATATATATTTTTATATACAAATTTTAATTAATTAAGTGAAATTCTAAAATTTTGACTCAAACATACAAAACAAATAATGAACAAATTGCAGCAATAAATGCAAAAAATGATGACGCATACAAAATGGCACATGTCGTTTGCAGCCAATCCACTAGAGGCCCCATCGAGAGGGAGACAATTATTTGTGCTACGAACACCATGCTGCTTATTATCGCAATATCAGTGCCAAGGCCTCGAGTTTGTTTCAATGGCACTGTTTCACCATTTCGAATACGGAACTAAAAGAAAACAAATTAATTAAGCAAGGATATCTAATTAAAGTTCACAACAAAAACCTACGCAGTTTTTGGCATGATAATGTGCTACCAAAATGTAAGGCATAGTAAACAGTGTACCATACAGAATGCCAGCCGACGTACTGAAGAATAATGCACCCCATTTTGTAGGCCAGATTCCAAGTACCAACATGCCAACTCCGTAGTATAAAATGCCAGTAATGTAAACTAATTTTGGTCTGCAATACAAAAATCATAATAAACATATCTTTGAAGTCAACTAAAAACTAATACCCAAATATTTGCATCAATTTAGTTACGCTTAAAGAATAAACCGAACAGGAAAATGCATAAATGGACATGCCCCAACAACCAAAACGCACACCAGCGTCATACAGATCAGCTGCTTCGGAATTTGGTGGTGCCTGCAGTATTTTATTCGTTGTTTAAAAACTTCTATTGAAATATACAATCGAAACTTACTGAAGGATCACCGTGAAATACCGCTTCCCCAACGAAGTCAGTGAAGTACAAACAATAAGCAACATGGCCCATCCAGCAAAACAAATTGGTAAGTGCCAAGATTCGCATAGAATACGGCATTACAAATATACTTTTCAAGTACTGTCCCAATGTAACTGGTTTATCTACTGATTCATCCAATTCTATTGCTTTTGTAGTTTGGCTTGCAGCTGTTGAACTCGGTGTACTACCATTTTGATAACTTTCAATAGGTGTAACAGAACTTTTTCTTGGTTCAGCAATTTGTAATTCCAATGATGTCGTCTGAAATTATTACAGTGATTATTAAATTTAATATTTTGTTTTATTTACTTTTTACAATGAAATACTAAATCAGATACTATATAATTGTATTGGTAAACCATAATTAATTGTGCTCTTCAAAGCACTAAAATAAACATCAAAATACAAATGCACTGACAGTAGAACTCCGCTAATTCAGATCCATTAAAATTGGGTTTAATCCGGATAAGTAACACATTTGGATTGCGTTATAGATACTAATCCATAAATCCATAAAAAGTCTTATAAATGTTTATATATTCATTTAAGCACCAGAAAGAGCAAAAAACTGAACAATAATTCATTAAATTAATCTATAAGTTAAATGGCACATTAACATGATAAATGATGAAATACATAAGCTAATAGCAAAGGCAGCATATTATCATACATACATGTATATATTAACATAACTCGTAAAGTGACATTCGAGGTGTTCACAACGTACGATCCGAATTAACGAATCACTGATCAATCCGGACCACAAGGGCCATAATGCAACTTTTGCATATACTAATATAATTGAAATAACTAGAAAAACCAAGATTCGGATAAACGAAGATCTACCGTATTCCATGTATATTATATTTATCAGAGATATTTTAAAAGATTATATAGAAATGTTTAAAGCTATAAAAGTTTCAATTTAATATGTCTCACTAAAAAGCAGTGAAACAAGTCTTAAAGGACCGTAAGGAGTAAGGAATGTACAGAACAATTTTTCTACTTCAACAGTGAAAATAGAATAAAAATATAATCTTCACACTTTTAAGAATAAATATCAAAAGATAACAATCGCACCTCTTTAATGTAGTAAACTGTATTATTGTTTTTATTTAATTCCTTTTTAATATCCTCCGCTGATAAGGGTCTTAACATATCATCTTTTTCAATGAGCTTCAATGGAATTTCTCGAAATGTAGTTATTGTGATTAAATAGCAAATAACAAATATAATGGTAACCAATCCAAATACTGTGGGAATGTTGCCACCTAGAGCGGCACCTAAAAAAATTGAGATTATATTTTGTAATCATAAACAGAAATAATATGTATGTATGTTCCTTTCATACCAATTGTTGTTCTTTCCCAATCAATGCCACCAATACCATAGCCAATGGTTCCACCAATACCAGCAAGTAAAGAAAACGCAGTCAGAGCACGTGGTTGATCCTCTGGAGTGCACATATCCAGCAAATAAGTACGTGCTGGAGTCTGGCATGTGTCCGCGTCAAAATCTAGTAAAACCATTCCAATAATAGTTAGTATAGCAGCATATTTAAAATTTCCTGCACTCGGTGGCTCGGTATCTGCAATCAAAGCTGCAACACTACCCGCATCAGAGGTGTAATTTAAGTTTAGTATATTCGTTGTATAATTATATCCCGTATCACCTAACAGTGCTCCCAAGTCTTGACCATATGGCACAAGTATTAAACCAATGAATATGCCCAATGATAGCAAAGTTATTATAGGTCTACGTCTACCCCAGTTTAACTTGCAACGATCACTTATTGAACCCAGAAGTGGAGATGCAAAGAAACCGATAAGTGGGGATAAACCCCAAGCCATTGTCATATGCTTGTGATCAATACCGATTTGCAGCAGGATCGGTGATACAAACGAAGTTTCAGCCGCATATGCAAATTCAATTGCCATCGCAATGGACGACAAGCGGAACAGCTCCCAACGCGTCTTCTTCCGAAACACGTGAGAGTAGTCATGCTTTTGCTCGCGTGCATGATTTTCACGTGCTTTTAGCATGTATTTAATCATTGGATTATTCGCCGATGAGAGCTCATCCTGACCTGACTTAGCAGCTACACCAACCATTCTTGCGTGGCGTTTAATAAAAAGTGTAAAAGAATGAATAAAGCGAGTTTATGTGCTGAAAGTAAATAAAAACGTTTAAAAAGAAATTAATAAAAATAATGCATAATATAACAAAAGCATTTAATAAAATTTTTAATTTTAATACAATGTTTTGTTTACAATTATTAATTTTAATCCAAACATCATTTTAATTATTTTATAGATTTATTCAGAATTTATTAACACGCAAAGAAGGAAATTTTACAATAATTATAAAAAATTAGAAATTATTTCAATGCAGTTTTCACATACTGGTTAGTGCATATGTTTGGCATTATCTTTCTGATCAATGAATATCTATAACTTTGAGTTAATCACAGGGAAAACCCCTCATATGGGTTGATGAATCTGAATTTTAATAGTGGAATATTTTTAACCAAAAGACTTTAAGTCCAAAACTTCAAATGAGAGTATTCGTTTAGAAAATGAAAAAAAAACTATGAGCTACTAATTAGCACATTAACGTCTATAACTTATAATAATTGAATTTTCGTGCCTTAGTCTATGTGACTAGTGTTTAACTGCAGTTCCTGTTTACAAGTGTAAATGCATTTAATTTAATTAATTACAATCATACTTTTGTAAGACACAATATCTTCTTAGAATTGCATAGCAAACAAAAAAAAATTTACTATTTTTATTAAAAACAGAGTTGACAACATTTAACATTGTTTCATTAGATCAATTATGCAGTACTAGATTACGATATTTCTGGAGTACAAATTTTGTAATAACGGAATACGTCATTCAGACTGAGATAGATTGTAATACCTCAGTCAATAAAATTACCTAGAGGCGGGTCATATATAGCAAATCTGGTAATACATTCAAATTAAAATTGATAAAACTCTAATTTTTCAGATTTAGATTTCATTTTTGCTAAATTATCACATAGTATATATATACATATATATCACACATATACCACTGATGATGGGTATTTGGCAATACTCGAAACAGCTGTATTGTCAGCAAAAAATTCAATTAATTAAATTAATATAAAATGAGTTTTTGTTGTTGTAGTTTACTACTGTTCTAAAAATCTCTTTATCACATATATATATAATTAATCAGATTTTGTTTGTTGTGCTCAAGAACTTTAGATATTCGATTATTTTCAACTATTCCCCTATATAGTACATATATCATCGTTCCTATAAAAATTACTTCCCGCCTTTTTTGACCCACCTTTTATCATTCTAAAAATACAATTTTTATTTAGTTTACAAAAGTATAAATTCACAGTTCTATGTTATGATTGTTATCAATCTAAAAATTAATTGATTCAATTCAATGCTTTATAATAATTGTATTCGTCTATTGTTTTGATTGCATTTCACATTCAAGAATTCATTACCAATTTGCCAATCAATGAATCAATCAAAAGTTTACGTAGCACTCAATATATTATACTGACACTATTATCGTCACCAATGAAGCATTTTGGGTGGGTCAATGTCATTTATTCATATAGAGTAAGGCTGGTGACGTCTCTAATAGCAATCAATATGTATTCATTTGTGTTTAATATTAGTCTTAAACATCGAATAATAAACTGGCAGAGCATCACAGTTAGTTTTAGCAGATCGGCATCATAAAGTACATGGCATTTGAGTTCATAAATATAAATATATCAGCTGACAAGAGATAAATATTTGACATTTACTACAATTATATTTAACTATGGAACGTCCACAAGTACTTTGAAATTTTAATCAAAGTTATTAAAAAAAATTTACTTAATTAAAAAATTCTTTAAAATATTGCTATATTTTGTAATTAAATAGATAAATAAAGAATTTAACTTAAATTTCAGGACATCATAGAATAACTTACTAAAATATGTGAACAGAAAAGCATTCAAAAACTAAAATTTCTCATTTTCTCAAACCCACTTCTCAAATCTATTTTATTATTACTTTATACTATATTACGCTGCTGTTTCTAAGGACAAAACAGTATAATTGAAATTAAAGAACTTAAAACTTGTTAAAACATTTGGCTGAAGAAAATCCTAGCAGGTCTGTAGTATATCAGAATGGTAAATTCGCATAGAGAGCTAGATTCTCATATATTAATCATCATCTTATAACGCCTGATCTGATTGTTTTCACCCAACTGCATCAAAAAGTTAAGGTACTGTTTTTACCAACTTCAATCAGTCAGCCAATAGTTATAAATATGTAACTCAGTTTCTCTGTAGTTTAATTGAATGATAGTACCAGTTACATACGTTTTCATAAAAAAAGATTAAGAATAAAGTATACAACAAAATTTCCTTATCATATTTTGAATATCTTTACTTTAAGAATCAAGACTTAAGTTGATTTCATACTATTTATAATTAAGTCTATGACAATGAGAGCATTTAAATTAATTAGACTGTTATTACTCTCATTATCATTACAGTCAAAATATCGTCTTCCTTATAATAATCTTCCAAACATAACGGTGTCCACATCTCATTTTCAATCATTTACGTCTAATCGTCTTAAATCAGTCCGTCTTCTAGATTCCTCGTTTTTTTTCCATCCGAATTTTTGAAGTGTGTCACTTCGTAGGGCTGTGTTGTCATAGTAAATGACCGGCCCTATCGATTTTACGTTCACTAGCATTTGTGCTTTTTGTTTTCGTGCTTCTACTTTTATGGAACAAACAGTCCTTTTGATAAACTTTCGTTCCACGGCACAGGAGTGATTAAGTTCAAGCCGCATTTTTATTTTGTTTTCTTTGAAGCAAAATCCACTTTGCAAAAAGAGCTCCCCTCTCAAAAATGTATTTTTCACCCGACAACTGATCTTTACGTTATTTCGATATCATTGGCAATTGCAATTATACGTTATTCCTTTGAAAAGCAATGAATGATTTCAATCTCAATTAATACAATGTGCTAACCAGCAAAATGAGATCGCTACGATCACCGAAATACCACATCCCAAAAAGGTCATACATTTCCACTGAATACAAAAGCGGCAACTGTTTTTTATTGGTAAATATCAGTTATTGCCGCAAAGATTTATTGAATTTGTTTTTTTAATGAAACTATTTCTTATTTAATAAATAAATTCATTCCACTGTTAAACACTGAGTTATCTAATTTATTTATATTTTTGTTTACGGAAAACTATTTTAATATAAAATAGAACTGATAAGTTTTCCTTTAATATATTGTATATTATTAGTTATAAGTGATGGATTAATAAATAGTTGTGTACTAATAGTTCACTTTTTGCGTAAGAGGTAAAATCCAAAGATATCCGATCAAAAGCGGTAAACTTCTTTTAATTTTCACAAATATTTTATATTTTAAGTAAAAATTTTTAAAAATACTTTCATTTCAAGTTCAAGTAAATTATTTTAATTTTTGTATCAAATAAATGTAAGTCAGTCAAAATGCTTATCATTGTCTCGAAAATTGCAAAAATAATCAATGGGTTTTACGTCGATACCATAATAATAATAAATAAATAAATTATTAAAAAAGTTTAAGCAAAAATTTATGTTTATTGAGATGCATGTATTTTGTTTAAATTATTTAACTATGTAATTTTTATAACAAGAAATTTTTAGAGCCCAACTTAATTATTTAAAAAGTAATTATCAGCCGTAGATCTTTGCAGTCATGGCTTAAGACATTTTTGAAATTTGAGTAAAATAGCTTTATCCTTACACTATCACAACTGTTGTCGATTCTACTTATTTCATTTACACTTTATAATATTTTAATTATTTTTAATTTATTTATTTATTAAAATGTTCGCTTTTTTTTAATTTCATTCACATTTTGTATACATTTTCAATTGGCATATTTAGTCTTTCATGTCGGCTTTCAAAGCAACCTCCACTTCAACGCGTGACCAAATCTAAACTGAGCTCAAGCCACACAAAAATCTGTCGATTTGACCAAAGCAATCAAAATGAAAAATAAATAAAATAGACAACTTAAAAATATTTTGAATCTCATATAGTATATACAACAAATACTTAATACGACAATAGTATAGCTTCAACTGCATGGAAAGATTGTGAATCTACCAGCCCACAATTTTAAGCTTTTAGGCTGGAAACAATCAGCAGCGGCTAAGATCAATGATACAAGCTAAGGGATTTCCCTATTTTTAAAAGTACCAGAGCAGTACATGTGCATGTCAGGCCTGTAAAATATTTTATCCTCAAACTGTAATTACAATTGAGTGATATTATGGTTTAAGCTGATGTCAATTAAGTTGTTTGTTAAAAGTGCAACTGAAATTAGCTAACTATTATCGCTTGATACAATGGTGACAATTTTAAACGCTACGTGAGTTAGAGTGATGTCAGATACTTTAAAGTATATTATTTCTGTAGTTTCGTGGTTTTTCGTAAAAGCAGCAAATAATGACTGTTCCTAATACTGACTCCAGAGGTGTAACCATATGTACTTTCCGGAACCACTATTTATTAACGAAATAGAATGAACAGTTTCAATTGTGATTCCTATATCCGCTAAACACTATGGAACATTTCGGAACTATAAAACTACAACTCTGTGCTTTTCTTGAGAACACAATTTTAATTTATAACGAAAGCATTCAATCTTTTTCACAACTAATTAGCACCTGACAACTGAAATATACTCATATGAACTACGATGACTTGCTTGACTTTCCATTCACTTTCTTGAAAGTTCAGATCAAAATATAATAGATGCAAGAACGAAATTACTATTCTAAATAATAACAAATCTGCACTTACGAACCATTTTATTATCATAAAAAAACTTCATTCCCATAGCCTACAGTGTAATCCAATTTATTATATTCTTCCAACCGCAAACCACTGTAGCACGATTTTTTGCGCCGATTATTATGTGAAGCAACATCATTATTGTAATTGCGAGTGATTGTCACGTTAAGATTACAATAGAGGATGTTTGAGATAAAATTAATTGATATAATTTACACGTTTACTGGGCGTTCGGGGATGGTGTGTATTTTATTTGTTATAATGTCTTGATAATTGCTTAACAAAAGATTTATTTACAAAAAGACTTTTTAGTCAATTTAAATTTTTTATGTCAACAAAGATGGCTATGACTTGGTGAAAAAAAAGAAAAAAACTAAATAATATATTAATTTATTTGCAAACTAAATCAAATAAATTAATCCGAGAATCTGAGAAAATGTATTTGTTCTAGATCTTTTTTAAAAAAGGTAACTCTTGGCAACCGAACCGTACCATTTTAATTAAAAAATTACCACAAAGTGTACAGGTACCCACGGGCCTGTACACTTTGAACTCTGTCATATTTAAAACATGGACTTATGTGCCAACATAATATATATTTATTTAATATTATTCAAATTTAGAGTTTTAACAATTTTTGTTATTTATTTATAAATAACCTTTGCGTCTACCGTGTTATTAATTAGAATAAACGTATAAATCACAGCTATATAATTTAACTTCATCATTGACAGTATTTTAAAATGTTTTATAAACTTCATTGTGGGTTAAGTGTGTATATTTGATTTTGTTGAATATAATATATATTAAAAGAAGATTAATATGAACTGGGAGAAAAAATTGTGCTTCACGTTCATTGTTCATATATTGTAATGATATATTTGAAACGACTTCAAGGATTTATAGTTAAATTAAATTAGTCTAAAAGTGCTTTCCAATCAGAACTCAACAATATATTTTATAAATATTTATATATACAATATATTTTTCTCTAAAAGATTTTTCTTATTAAAAATCAACTTTAAATATCGAAGTATATAACATGTATATATGTATATATATAATCAAAGTCCAATATATTTAACGATTGGAAGCACACATATTTATATTAAATTACATAAAAATATGTACTTTTTATGATTCATCCTTCATAGTTTTAAGTAGTGCACATTTCCACAAACCAGCGGATTGAACAAATTTGTCTCATCTGCATAAATCAAGGTTTACTAGGTCAATAAATTACTACAACCATGTATTTATAGATAAATTTTCGTTTTGTTGTTGCTCGGCATATTTTGCTTAAATTAATTATGCTTAATTTTTAATTATTAATTAATTCCTCTAACACAGGTAATTGGTTGAGTTTTAACTGATAAAAAACCGGCTCCGATAACTCCAAGCCAAAGAGGCGATGACTGTCATCCGACTAAACATTTCAATGCAAAAACAAATATTAAACTTAGTAAATATATTAAATATAGCAAGCACAATTGTTATTTATGTTAATTTTCACTAAAATTTTACCCTTGAGTTAGTATATTGATTCAAAAAATTAGACATTTTCTGTCTGCACAACCAATTATTGAATATCTTTCACAAAAGAATTAGAAGTCATGCTTAGAATAATCCGCATATGGATTATTATTATTGCTTAAAAGATGCAAAATAATCGTGTACAAAATTTATTCAAATAAAAAGAAAAAAAAATTAATTTCACTTTCATCTTTTGATAATGATTTTACCTAAGATACAAATATATCTTTGCATACAAAGCAAAATCATTGATCACTAATCGCACCTGCTCGACCTTTGATAAATTTTGCAAATCAGAAATCTTTGAGTTTAGTGAACGCTTAAGATATGCAAAAATGATAAGAAATTCAAGTTGAAAATATTTTAGCACGCATTTGTTAACATTCGGATGATGTGCGAAAATTGTAGTTTTAATTTAAACGAATAACAGAAATTAACACAAAATTATAAATAGTTTATTAACTGTTTTCCAATCAATTAGCAATTAGCAAATATTAATCTTCCAAATAGTTTTAGAAAACTGGAAAATAAATCTTTTCAGAATAACTCAAGTAGTATTAGCACACGAGGTCTTCAATAGTCGCGGTGCTCTGTTTCACTGAGACCAATAGGCCTTGCCACTTCCTATTCTACTGAAGCAGTTTCGAATTAAACGCCCAGCCTGTGTTCACTACGGATTTTGCGCCAATTAAACCTATTATCTGTGGAGGCAGTAGCTTCGATTTCCATACTGATTTTAACTGTTGTGCATTCCACCTCCAATTTTGAATTAACATTTTATAGATGTTTTCAAGTTTACAGTTTTGTTAATGCTAATAAAAATTAATTATGAGAAACAAATTTGTAAGTCAATTGAAAAACAAACCCTTAATTTTGGTTTGGAATTGAAGTGGGAAACTTTTAAATAAATGCATGCGATATGAATTTCCAGAAATCACTTAGTGATTGCTAATATGCGTTTATTCGCGTACTATTATATGTAATAAATGAAAGTATAATATGCACTGATAAGATGCAATCAGTGAGTACGATTTCAAACCTCCACAATTCGTTTTATAAATTAACAGATAAATGGGATATGGAAAAATCAAGATAAGCTACAAAACCGTAAAAAAACTACTGTCCGTCTTCAATTATAAAAATGTATTGCACATTGCGTATATAGCAAGTACCTGATATAATTATAAACCAAATTGATTACTACACAATGATCGAGAAGTTATTTTGGAACTGCCAGACTAGAACATGACTGATTTTTTAAATAAATTTTAAACTGCATATTAACATTATTTAAATTCAAAAATATTTAACACAATTAACTGATGATTATTATTATTATTAGAAAAATGATGGCACAAAGCGACATTTGGGATATATTGCACTAACCCTAAGAAAAGTTTCCTTAGGGTTAGAATTCTTGATAAACTTTACTATATCTCTTAGCTATAGAGCGTGAATTAAGGAAAACCAGATAGATACCAGAACAATTTTATTACAATCGTAGTAGATAAGCGTATGAGACGGGCGGACGTTCCACTCTGTATTTCACAAAATACAAAATGCCTTTTTATATTTATACTTAAGCGATCTTTTAAATAGTGTTTTAAAAATGATTAAAATTAATTAATATCTATTTAGTCAAACAAAAGTACACAAATAAGATTTTTGGATTTACCCAGGTCTGTCTAGGTCTAATGTTAGGCAAAGGATTCGGGCCTTATGAAGACATAATCCATTGCGTGATGTTGTTCAAGTATATAGAAAACAATAATCTATGATATTAACTGAAATTATTTCATCGAACTGTAAAATGTCGGCTTGTTCGATGGATCACAAATTTAAGTAAGTAAAGTAAAGTTTTCATTTCACAATGAATCAATAAATAATGTAAAAATTTTTTGATGATTTTAAAAATCTTATAAATATAAACACTTGAAAATACAAAACTTATATGTTAGATAGATCACATTGATTAAAATAAAAAATTAAAATTTTAACAAAGAATTATTTCACATATTATAATAAACTTAAATACAAGATATAAGATATTTTAAAATGAGAAAACACACTTATACATTAAATTAATTTTATTAAAAAATTGTTACATTTTTAAGAAACACCTTAACCGCTTGAACTAGTGAGAACAAACTAAAAAAATTGAATTTTTTAATGCATTAGATAGACCAGTATTCCCTGATAGAAAACCTTTATCGTTTAGAAAATACAATCAGTTAATCCAAGAGAATTAAGCTATTTTCAAATGTAATATCAGCAATATACTGTACATATTATAAATCTAAATAATGCACTTTATGTAGATTACAATATACGGTAATAATTCATCTCATGCAGGAAAAAAAATTTTACAATAATTGCGTAAACTAAACTCATTGTTTAGTTAGAATATCTTAGAGATCTCTTCCGTTATTTACTTTACCATATTTACTAATTTGGTCAAAAATAACAATACTTCTGTAACATACCGAAACAATTACAGCTTAAAAAATTAGGATTTAGCAAATATAACTATATCATTATATTTTCAGATTTACTATCTAATCTCAGAGTAATCAGTAACCGCACGGGGCTGTACGCAGATCTTAGATCAGTCATTGAATAATCACGAATATTATGAGGAATACACGAATTAGTCAATGAGATAGATGGGACTCTGCAGAAACCCCCCAGCTATCAAAGAGTAAAAGTGTCCAGATGCACTAACGCAACATTACATTACTCTTACAACAAATTTAATCACAGAAACATCAATATGAGAAGTAAACAAACACTTTAAGGCAATACGTTGATGGCATCCTAAGCAAGACTGCAGTCTACGAGTCACTTCGTAGATTACAGTCAATATAACGATAGTGACACTAAGAACCTCAATCCATTATTTCAAACTAACAATACATTAAACTTTGATCAAACTGATCAAAGTGTGGTTTTTCAATGTAATCTTTGTTTAGTTTAAGACAAAATCCTAGGCCAATCCAGCAGTTTTAATGAAAAAAATATGCACAAAATTTTTTTTTTTGTTTTTTGAATTCAATAAGCTCACCTTCCACAGTTGTTTATATTTTTTTATTGAAATTTTCGAAAATTTTTTGTTATTTTGCAATTTAAAACTCAAAACTCGCAGTTACACTTTGTTTTTGTAATAATAAAAGTGCTACAACAACGCACTTCACTCGGAACAATTCTTGAAAAAGTTTAATGTCAGTAAAGTTTGTTCTGAAAAAGTTTTTCTCTTGCACAAATTATTGAACATAAAATAGATTTGCAGTTTTTTCAATTTCGAGTTTTGCTTATAATTCGCAAGTTTATAGCTTTGAACGGTGGCGTGGCAATTCGTGGACTGGGGTGTAGGCGGTTTTACTCTCATAACTTTACCCATGCAAATTTTTTCGATTTAAAGAAAAAATCGTTAATTGTCGATTTTCAAAAAAATTTTTTTTTTGCTTTTTTAATTTCACAAATAATTAAAATTTTATACAAATTCGTATTTTTCCTTCTAAAGTAGAAAGTGCTAAGCTTCTGACATTTCCGCACAGAAGATTTTATTTTTAATTTGAATTTTAACTGCAGACATCAAATAACTATGAAAATTCTTAGTATTTTTTACAATCTCTTTTTTTTTGACTTCAAAAACCAATTGCAGTTGGAATTTTTATTATTTATTTTAATTATAAATTAAAAATCAACTTTCACTCAAAATTTTTATTTAATTTTTTTATAAATTAAAATTTGATTAAAAACTTCTTCACTTTCTTCAGTGTTTGCTCGAGTTGTGTCTTTGCGACTGAAGTGTTTTCATCTTTGCCAACAATTTTATATGCTTTTCTAGTGTCAGTACGTTCGGCTGCTTCAGTTTCGATTTTGCGGCGAATTCATTTCACAGATACTTTACTCTTGAAGCAGCTATCGACTGTTTCTGTCTTATCAAAAATTTATTTTACGAAAAAGCCGTGTGTGATAACGAAGCTGAATCTATGGCAGTTGTAAACAATAACAGCACAACCCTCTGAAAAGCTGTAAGGCATTAAAGATGCACAGTGATTTAATTGCTTTATTATACAAAATCAAATATCTATTATACTATTATACTCTATTTGTAACTAAGGCAAAACGTATAAAATTATCTAGAAATTATCTTTAAGCGAATGTTAGCTATAATTATTCAAAAATTAAACCGCACTATAGAAGCATTATTTCTGGATATTTTATCAATCCTAATCCAGATACAATACACTTACATTTTGTAGTAACTCAAAGCATTAAAGTTGTATAAATAAATAAAAATCAGTAATTAGAATTTGGATATAATTCTTTTTGACTGGATAAAATCTCGTTAAAGGCCGTACGATTATTAAACATACGATAATATCACACGGGGTATAGTGTGGTTAATAAAATCTCCAAATATCCAAATATTTAGCGAATATTCCCATGTAAACACGAACTTTCTTTTTTTGGTATCTTGATTTCGAAATCAAGACAAATTTAATAAAAAATAAAATAAATTTTAGTTTTAATAAATTGTAATCTAAGTCTTAGATTTGACTTAGATTTGTTCCAACGTTGATTATATGTTGAGCCATATTATTATTATTGTTGAAACCCAAGAGGTGTCATCGTTTTTGTAAACAATCTAACTTCAACGGAAGGACTATAAGATTGTCGCTTGTATCATGTATAATGATACAATGATTTATATCATGTATAATTTATATATTTTATATACTTTACTTTATATACTTTATATCATATATATTTAGAGATGTAAGGTATTAGTTAAAGATTATATAGTAAAAGATGTAATAGTTCGGGAAAGCGGCTTACAATCAAACAAGACCATATATTTTTTTATTGGTCAATAAAAGATAGTTATCTGCTGTTTAGGTTAATTTGACTGAAACAATGTACAAACAATAAAGGTCTAAATAGAGATGGCATATCTTAGATGGTTGCTTGTATAATCGAACTCATCAACTATTTGATAAATACGCACTTAAGCTAGAAGTTTTCTCTTATTAAAATTATAGAAGTAAAACACTTATTTTACAACCAGTTCTAGGCAGAGACAGAGCGAGCTTTTTGACTGTGTTTTATTAGGGCCTCTATATAGTTCCTTAATTAACTCACAGTTAAGAGTTCTGTTGAGTTGGTCATTTAGACAGACTGCCATAGTTAACTTTCAGAAATAACGTAAATAAAATATTTTCAAGGAAATAATATTTTGTTAACTTTTATAGTCAGAAATTGCTTCTATTTATAGTTAAATAGAACAAGATATATTTAAAAAAGTAGAAACGGGTTAAGGCAAAGCATTTATTACCGAAGTGAGGATACGCATATATAGACTCGATATCTATCATTCCGAATATGTAGTATGTATGAATGTATATAATAACCCATAAATGTATTTAGAAATAAACTTATAGATATTATATTATTGCTTATAAAAATTAATGACAGATCTGTAAAGAATTATCAACTGATTTATAACTTACTAATATTAACTAATATTGATAAAATGATGATTTGTTGAATAAATTAAGTTATTAATTGATTATTTTCAATGTTAACTGTTTTCTGTATAAATGAATATGATGTGATATAGCAAAAGTTTTTGATGTTATGCATTAGCATTTATTTTAGTTTTACAATTTCCATATGGAGAAGGACTATTTCGGCTATATAAAGCAACTATTAATTACACATTTAATTAATTGCAAATAACGAGATTTTCGCAAAAATTAAAATAAATTACACAATTTGCGGTAGAAATGATCTAAATTGCATTGAAATTGACATGCAACTGCAATGAGTGTCATTGGTGCATATTCGATTTCATCGCTGTGAGTTTTCAAGTGAATGCGGTAAAGTGTTTGAGGGCAATGAACATAATATGAATGAAAAATATAATAGATAAATGCGAAGATTGCAAATTTAATAAATAATTAAAAAATATTGAAATACAAATACGCAATCTTCTGATAACGCTTGACACTGGACTACGTTTAATCATTTTTACTCAACCAATTATTCCAGATTATCATTTGCGATATACAACAAATCGCATTGACTCACATAAATATATGAAAGTAGTTATTTATACTCAGAAATTCCAATAGATAAAAGAAAAGTATATAAATAAATTCTAATTACAACCGAAGATACTTTGCCATTTCATACAAATTACCACAAAATGAAGTGTTTATGGGAAGTGCAGTAAATACTCGTAATTTAAGTGGCGTTTATTATTTTATAACGCAACAACGTATTTACAGAACAAGTGTTGACTTTTGATTAAGATTGTATCTGCTTTGTGTCTACTGTGAGTAAATCAAACCGAGACGCAGATAATTGCATAGATTTGACTTCAAAAATTTTCCATAATATAGAAACTATGACACTAGTTTATTTCGTATTTGTTTACTCGTTGGCATCTGTATTACTTTTAGATTGTGGATTTTGCATCATTTATATGGAATAATATCGTTTGCACTTCTTGCACTTCATCAAATTCTTCTCCCTGCTAGGTTCGATTCAGAAATAAGTAGTTTTAAATACTGACGTGTCAATCCAGTTATCCGATATTTAATGGCTTCAAATTATCCGACTATTTTGACGTCCTCAAGGCTTAAGTTAAAGCAATCCATTAGAAAGTTGAGATGATAACGTGTAACACATCAATATAACGCAATACCTATATCAAATTTTTATATTTTTATATCTGAATAACAGTTAGTTGGGGTCTGTATCGAAAATTCTAAAACTTTGGACCCGATCAGGCATAACAATGTCTCAATTGATAACACTAATAATAACTGGTAGATAAAACAAAGTTGACACATGCCTGGCTAATTTGGCAGAAAATATGCTATAAAAGAACAAACGTTATGGAAACAAAACAAGAAGTAATGCCAATCTGCTTAAGTCTACCTATCAATCTATCAATTTTTGATAAATATGTATGTAAATGATTTGACTGTAGTTACTAAAGACCTCTATGTAAGAATGAGATTGGAAACAAACAATTGAATGCATATTATATATGGTCATTATTCGGTTTTTCAGACAAATAACATACATAACAACTTAGAAGATTTTGACTTTGTTGGATTGGAAGAAGTCAGTTTAAAAAAATTGATATGATTTGTCGCTGAAAGAAGTTGATTTACTAAATGTGGTAAAGATATGTCTAGATATGTATAATAATGCAATAATATTTTATGATTGTTATTTGTGTTTTATATAATTCGGTGGATAGTTAAACAAGTCAACTTTTGCGCTTAAATTTGATACTGTGAAACTAAAGTAAAGGAAAAAGTTATTATTAAAAACTTTGCTGATTTAAATATATGTAATAGCGATATAAACTTTATAAATCATCTTTTACAGAATGTGAAAGATATCTACACTTCTGCCGCCTATTCACGCCATTAGCACCACAGATCTCTTGCTATTATATATTTCTTGATTTCCGTATAATTACTTTCATTTAAAGATGTGTTGCGACTTATACCTATTATAGCAACTTTATTTTTGGTTTTCTTTTTGACGATATTGGTACCGGTTCTTACAAAAATTATTGAATATTTTAGCCGTCCGCAATATTGTGGACCGAGAAAAACCGTACTGGATCCCAATTATCATCCATTTGTCAAGCAACTTTAACTATAATCTTTTATATCATCAGATTTCAGTGATTAGTTTATTTATAAATTTTTTTTTATTGCTAATATATATGAATTTACTTCTCTAATCTTTCCAAACTTGTACTTAAACATTTTTCTCACAATCTATAGATAAAAAAATAATTTTTAATATTTATACGTAATATTTAAGTAGCAACTTAAATGCATTTGATTTGTGTGTGGTTATATGTCTTCAGTTTCTTATAGTATTATATATATTGCAAATTAACTAACTTAAATTTTAATCACGTAGAATTAGAATTTTATAATCTGAATAAATAAATCTAGAAATTACTTGAATTCATTTGTGGGGCTGGTAAGATTCTGCAGTTTCAGAAGTTATACACTTTATTGTATTTTGAATTTATTACTGAGTGAACTTTTCTCATAAATTATTTTTTATAGATTTTTAGGAATTTTACTTGTAATTTATGTATAAATAATGCATTGCCGTTAAACATTTTATGGTATTTGGAACTTATCCAACTTATTTTAAGTTGAAATTTCTATAACATTTTGTACATTTAAAACTAATTTTAAGCATTTCTGTTTCATTATAAATTTAAAATAAATTTTTTGTAAAATTAGGGCTTTTCTTAAAAAGCCACGCTTAGATATATCCTTAAATACACAGAAGATGTTTGCGACTGCAGTACTCAACCTTACACCATTTAGGCTAGGAAGAAGCCTTCAAGTATTTCTTCTGCTCTTTTATAACGCATGGTAGGAAATGAATAGCTAGGAAGTAACTTCTGTTAATGACGAAGTGCTAAGTTTTAGCTATTATTGATACATTTCGATGCTTTACTTCCAGGAGTTCATCATATGGCAATCATACACAACATTGCAGTAGTTTGTTATGATTTGAATTATGAATGTTCTTAGTTATCTTCCCAACAATGGTAAATAATTAAAATTTTGGTTAAGCTAATTGCAAATAGTAAAATTAATCTTGTGTTTAAATACTAAAACAAAACTAGTTACTTATCATATATCAAATAACCACATTACCACATTATAAAAATTATAAAAACCTTTTTAATGTTCAAGTTTATCCATTTATGTTCAAAATATTGCAT